CGGAGGCGGAGTCCGCGCTGCTCTACCGCGCCCTGCAGGAGAGCACCCGGCCGCTGCACCGCTTCTTCCTGGAGACCACCGGCTTCTCCTTGCTGGACTGCAGCTCGCGCTGCCTGACGTTCACCGACGTGGCGCCGCGGGGCTTGGCCCCCGGCGAGCGCCGCACCTGGTTCATCCTGCAGCGCTTCGTGGAGGGCTTCTTCCTGCACCCCACCGGGCTGGAGCTCCTGATGGATCACCGGAGCACGGACCCGCGGGACTGGGCGGTGGAGCAGGTCTGGTACAACGGGAAGTTCTACCGCAGCCCCGAAGAACTGGCCCGCCAGTACCACGCGGGGCAGGTGGACGCCGTGGTCCTGGAGGACGTGAGCCAGGGGGAGGGGGCCCCGGAGGGGGCCCCCGAGGGGCCGCCCCTGTTCTCCTCCTACCAGGTGCGCGGAGATTTCGCCAGCCCCATGCCCATGGCGGGCCCCCGCCTGGTGCAGCCCCAGGGCCCGCGCTACCGCCTGGAGGGCAACGTGGTGCTCTACGGGCACTGGAGCTTCGCCTTCAGGCTGCGCTCCTCCTCGGGGCTGCAGATCCTGAACGTGCGCTTCGGCGGCGAGCGCGTGGCCTACGAGGTCAGCGTGCAGGAGGCCGCCGCGCTGTACGGAGGGCACACGCCCGCCGGCATGCAGACCAAGTACATCGACGTGGGCTGGGGCCTGGGCAGCGTCACCCACGAGCTGGCCCCCGGCATCGACTGCCCGGACACCGCCACCTTCCTGGACGCCCTCCACCACTACGACTCGGACGGCCCCGTGCGCTACCCGCGAGCCCTGTGCATCTTCGAGATGCCCACCGGGGTGCCCCTCCGGCGGCACTTCAACTCCAACTTCAGCGGGGGCTTCAACTTCTACGCGGGGCTCCCGGGCCAGGTGCTGGTGCTGCGCACCACCTCCACCGTCTACAACTACGACTACATCTGGGACTTCCTCTTCTACCCCAGCGGCGTGCTGGAGGCCAAGATGCACGCCACCGGCTACGTGCACGCCACCTTCTACACCCCCGAGGGGCTGCGCCACGGCACCCGCCTGCACACGCACCTCCTTGGCAACATGCACACCCACCTAGTGCATTACCGCGTGGACCTTGACGTGGCAGGTAGGACCCGCGAGGGCAGGGACGAGCCTCCAGACAGACCTCCGTAGGAGCAAGGGTGTCCACGCCAGGGGCCACGGCGTGGCATCCCCCGGTGAGGCGAACTCTCCTTCCGCACCACGGCCCGCTCAGGGCCCGACGCCACCCCGGTCTGCCCCGGGATGCTGTCTGGGCGGAGACCCCCTGGCAGCGGGAGCCGTCCAGGCAGGAGGCCCGGCTCTCACCGTCCTCCTCCCTGCGCACCCGCAGGCCCCAAGAACAGCTTCCAGACCCTGCAGATGAAGCTAGAGAACATCACCAACCCCTGGAGCCCCAAACACCGCCTGGTGCAGCCCACTCTGGAGCACAGGAGCTACGCCCGGGAGCGCCAGGCCACCTTCCGCTTCCGGAAGCCCCTGCCCAAGTACCTGCTCTTCACTAGCCGCCAGAAGAACCGCTGGGGCCACCAGCGCAGCTACCGGCTGCAGATCCACTCCATGGCCGATCAGGTGCTGCCTCCGGGCTGCCAGGAGGAGCGAGCCGTCACCTGGGCCAGGTGAGAGGGCGGGGCCGGGGGTGCCTCCGTGCCCCAGCATTCCCGGGTCCGGTCTGTGCTGCTGCTGGGGCCCCTGTGGCCATGGGTTGGGGTGCCGGGCCCGAATCTCAGCTGATGTGGCCAAGGCGGCTGACCCCGGGTGATGCCCTCTTAGAAAGTGACCCTCAAGATGTCCCCGGGGGGCTGGGAGGAGCTGGGCCCGGGTCAGCCGCCCCTCTGCACGGCAGGTACCCCCTGGCCGTGACCAAGTACCGGGAGTCCGAGCTGAGAAGCAGCAGCATCTACAACCAGAACGACCCCTGGGACCCCCCTGTGGTCTTCGAGGACTTTCTTCGCAACAACGAGAACATTGAAGATGAGGTACGGCCGCCTTCCTCCAGCCCCAGCCCCCAGAGATGGGGGGGCGGCAGCCAGCTGCAGGGGGCAGTCCCCACAGCCCCCAGGGCTGCCTTCCTAACGTGGGTGGGGGTGCGGGAAGTCCCCGGGCACAGCCAGGAGCCCCGGGGCCGCAGAGCCGGGCCCCCAGCACGGCCGGCCCACGAGCCCCCGACCCTGAGCCCCACCACCTTTCCGCAGGACCTGGTGGCCTGGGTGACCCTGGGCTTCCTGCACATCCCCCACTCCGAGGACATCCCCAACACGGCCACCCCGGGGAACGCCGTGGGCTTCCTGCTCCGGCCCTTCAATTTCTTCCCCGAGGACCCGTCGGTGGCGTCCAGAGACACCGTGGTCGTGTGGCCCCATGAGCACAGCCCCAACTTCATCCAGAGCTGGGTGTCCCAGGACAAGGACTGCCTGGGGCCCCCACCCTTCAGTTACAACGGGACCTACAGGCCTGTGTGAAGGGCCCACCACCCCCACTCGGCCCCAGGAGCCTAAGAGCCCCGAGAGGGACAATAAAGGCTGCAGGGCTCCACTCCGTGTGCTGCTTCTGGGGGGCGCGGTGGGCGGGGCCACACAGCCGCGTTTCTGCCTTACCACCACTCTCTGGGCCCCCCACACCCCGGGCTGGGGCGCCAGCAAGCGCAAGGGCTCTCCGGCAGGGGCCGCCAGGCCAACCGACCCCCAGGTCCAGAAAGAACCGGACAGATGCTCCTCCTGGGCAGGCCGTGGGGGACACGCCTGGGCCGGCCACAGGGAGAGGAGAGGCCAGCAGAGCCGCCACAGCCTCCACCCTCTGGCCACGTGGCCTCAGGGCCCGCCCCGCAGAGGCGTGGGGGAAGCGCCCCGGCCCGTCCCGCAGAGCTCCACATGGGAAGCGCCCGCGTGCGGTGGCTCCGCGCCCCGTGACAGCGAAGTGGGAGGCGGGAGGCCCGGCCTGCGCGGGGCACCCCTGCAGCTCCACAGAGGGCGCTGCGTGCGGTCGCCGGGGGACCCCGGGCGTCTGACGGAAGGTGAGCGCGAGCAACAGACACAGCGTTGGGGGGGAGGGTGCACACAGGCCTGGCGGGAGACAGACACCCCGCCGGCCGCCGGGGGCAGCGGCTGGGGCCTCCCCTGCAGCCCCGAAGTCTGACTCTCCGGTCAGGCTGAACAGCCTGTGGCGCCAGCAAGTCCGTCTGGAGCCCCCTCGCGGCAAGCTGCTCCCCGGGGTGGGCGGGGGCGAGCACAGCAGCCATGGGGCATCTGTCTGGGCCCGGAGCGGGCGAGGCGCAGGGTCCACCCTGGGGCGGGGCGCCGGGAGGACCTGGGGCGGCTGAGCCCCCGGCTGGAAGCAGAGGCCCAGACGCTGCGGTGGGGGTCGACTGGGGGAGTTGCCTGGGGGGGGAGAAGGGAGCGGAACTGGGCACAAGGCCCCGCCTCATCACTGAGTCTCCGTCAGCCACAGGCTTCGGAGCAAAGCCTGCGGGGAGGAGTCCGGGGCCTCCCGGAGGAGCGGGCGGCCGCGCTCAAGCAGCCGGCAGCGGAGGCAGCAGCTGGCCGCGCGCCCCTCAGC